TATATATATATATATATATATATATAATAGAGACAATTGGTAGCATCATTAATCTAGAAAGTAAGCAATGAACTTGTCACTGTAATTAATAACATTTCATATTTTCTTTAAAATGAATAAAGGTCAGTTACTCAATGCTACTCAAATGTGTTCTCATTGTTAAGTAACATTTTCTTATTGCAGTAAAAAGATTGTTTTATGCTATCTTTTTTATATGTATATATATTATGTTTATATTTCAAGAGGAATTAATGATGTAATGATGTGGACGTGTTTTATTTTTTCAGGTTTTCATGAATAGCACTGTGATACTATGGCATATAAACATTCTATGCATTTTCTACCATTCTATATTAATATAGTACTATACTAAGTTTATCAGTTATTCTGCATATATGCAGTTTTCATATAATACGTGGTCAAATAAATCATTAAGCTGATTTCGTTCTAGCTGCCTTTATTCCTTGTCGTTCTGTAGAGGTCAGTCCTGTTCTGCCCATGGTAGGATATGCTGTAATACTGCATGTTATGCAAGAATGTACACAGCTAGTGTCTTAAAATGGTAGTTCAGAGAGTATCTCAAGCTATGACCTCCCCTATGCCTCAAAGGTAATGACAAATCACATGACTATGGCTTGTCACCCTGGGTAAATCCAACCTTACCTGATCCATTTTAGAATAATTTCCATCCAATATTGGCAACAGTACACCATTCAAAGCAAGTTCAAACACTGTGTTTGTGCTATGTTGTAATAAAGATTGTGTTTTTTTGTATCTTAAATTTAGTCCTGTCTCTTTATCTCATTCTCCAAAAGTCATATATTTAAAGAAACACAGTATTAGTCTATTAGATATTTTATTGGATCCCCTATTAATTTGGGAACCTATGTTATTTCTCTAGGAAGAATTAGTATTACCTGAATATACCACACTGTTTTGACTAAAGCATTATTTGATGTATTTTATTATGTATGATACTTTTACATGAATTATTTAAAACTGAATAGTTTGTCATATGCTATGTAGAGCAACTCTGTTAGTGTTTTCTTTTCACTTTTACTATAATATATGCAAACCCCACCCTCCCATCCCAATGGCTAATCAGTAAGTCTGAGAGCTTCTAGTGCAAAAAATCAGGTTTTGATATCCACAGTGGGTAGAGAACATATAGATCATAGTGTAGATTTAAGTTTCAACTGTTAAAACAAGTAATGTTGACTGACTGTGATACACATTCTGGATGTTGATAATAAGCTACAGGTGGAGAATATTTTGAGATAGTTGATATTAAGTTACAGGTAGTGAATGTTTTGAGGTTAAAATGTTAACATAAGTAATGTACTGTTTCTAATGCATACTGTGGTTGTACATATTGAGTGACAGATAGTGAACGTTTTGAGATTAAACTTTTAAGATAAGTAATGTTTACAGACTGTGATCACGATGTTGTTATTGGTGTTAAGCTATAAATAGTAGATGTTTTGAGGCTAAACTGTTAAAATAAGCAGTGTTTATTCACTGCTTTATATATATACAGTAGTTATTGATAAATTATGACTAGTGAATGCTTTAAATTTGAACTGTAACTACAGTGTTTCCTGACTGTTAGACACAGTGATTGTTGACGTTAAATCATAATTTATATGCTGACTGTTGATGTACTATGATACTCTAGTAAATGGAACAACATTAGGAGAAAAGATAGAACATAAGCCTTCACTTTCAAACCCTGATGCAACCAGGCTGAAGTTGTCACGCTTGGATCCTGAAACCAAATATAGACTTACCATTCAAGCAACAACTCAAATTGGAATGGGGGAAGCATATTATATTGAAGAAACTACAGGAACTGGAGTCCCAGAAGGTATGAACACTAAGCTGATGGTAATGATTTGAATGCAGAATATGTTTTTCCTATACATTATATTTTTATAATCTTCCAGTCACTATAAAGGAAATAGGGGAATTTTTTTATTATGCTATATATTCATCACTTTTTGACTTTACAGTTTCTTAATACAGAGCTTCATAAACCATCATTGTCAGGTTTTATGTATGGGCCAGATTTTTTACAGTAGATGTTTGTGATTTGTTGCTAATAAATTTCAGCAGTAAACAAACAGCACACAGTCCTCGTGTTTTAAAAATAATATATTAAAACCAGTCAAATATATATACAGATATTTGTTACACTGTTGGTTATCACAGTTGTATCCAGAGCTTTGTATAATTGTCTCTTTTTCATCAAATTCTACACAGACTAGTTCAGTTACTTTAGAACACAATTTGACAAGACAAATTATTCTTCCTACTCTGTTATTACAATACAGTTTGTGATAATTTCATTTTACAAATCACCACAATATGCTTTTTATGGCTAAACTAACAATCACACAGTCTAGATCTATCTGTATATATAACTAGCTCAAACTACAATTTGGGATGCATATTTATAGCCAGATAGAGGCCTAGAATGTTCCACACACTATGAGATATTATGATGCAATAATACTCTATCAAAACAATGAGAAAAACTCAAAAGGTTCTAGTAACATGATGCAATAATACAACAATCATCAATTCACAAACATAAACAAACCTGAGATAAACTATTGCTTCTAAAAATATTTCAATTTAACACCCATGCTATGCTTAAACCATCTAAATTGTAACACTTGCATTAAACTTACAGTCATATATATCTAACAATCATATTTTACACTTTGCATAGGTTCAGCAACTAGAGCTTTCTGTATGCAAATGATAACATTTTTTACCATAATCTTTTTTACCAACTTGCATGATGCATTCATACACACACATATATATATATGTAACACCTTGCAGTGTAATATACTCAATGCTTGATTAGGTAGAGCAGCAACAAGTAATTTATTTTGTTAGAAATTAAATATTTGTTTTTATCTACTGTATGCATTCATTGTAAGTGATTTTTTTTATGAAAAATGTTTTGTTTTTTAGAAAGTCTTAAACAATTTATTGATCACTTGTAGCACTCATGTGACACTTTATTTACTTATTCAAATAACAAATATGTAAGTACTGTAGTTGGAGCTTTTTCGTTCTGAAAATAATTTGAAATAACCTCAGTATCAGTGTATTATTATTGATTTTAGTTTAAGGTAACACTTTACACAGAAGCGGTTTTAACAGCTCAAACTACTTGGTGCAGTTTTCTTAGGGGGCCCATATGTATTGACCAGCTATAGGTACAGAAATGTGTAAATTCTTTTCCATTACTTATGGGGCCTGCAAGATGAGAGGCCCGTTGGTGTGTTGCCCCAATTGCACCAATATTAAATATGCCACTGACTTTATATTAACCACTTGATTTTCAAAAGGGACAAAATAAAACCTAAGCCTTACACTGTAAGTGTCTAATTACTGTGCATGTACTAGTTTTGCAACTCTGGTCCAACATGCAAAGGAAATTAATTGTACAATGATCAACGTTTTGTTTTTATTTCATGCTCCAATGGGATCCTAGTTTTTATGTGGAATCTAATAAAAGAGAAATAAAACAGTAACTAAATATTGTTGTAGTTTTCATTGCACAATATCCCATATTCCACATTTATTTTGATTGAAGTGTTTAACAAAGTTTAAATGTAATACTAATATTTTATGAAAATGTGTCTATAGTCACTTTATTTATTGCAAACACGTGTCAATGGCAGGAATTATGATGAAAAACTAAAGGAAAATGCAATATATAAAGTAGTGTTTGTACTTGAAATACATACAAGATTTTTTAAAACTGTAACTACTGTTTTGCATTTATTGTTTTGAAGATAATCCAGGATATGCTTATTTTTAGCACACAGAACCCAACATTTTAGACACAATTGTGCCTTTGACACTTTGGGTGCTTATTTTTTTATTAAAAGGGTGAATGGAAGATAATTTGGGAGATTTAATGTTTCACATCTTCTTAAGGTATATGTAATAAAATACAGTTATGTACATTACTGAGTTTCTAGTTAGCCACTGCATAAGGGCTCATAGAATGGCTCCGAGTTTTTCAATTTAGCTCATAGCTTCATCATCTCTTGACCAATTTGAGATTTAATTACAGTTTTAGACTCAGGAGGTCAAAGTCTTTTGACTGATTATTTGACCACACCCAAGGTCTCATATGTTAATTTACTCTAATCCTGCCTAAAAGAAGTTCCATTTGAGGGAAGGGTGGTAGAGATCCTGATGATGAATAAAATTGAATTGGGTATATGCACACCCTATGCTTGGTATTCCTGGTGCACAAAAATATAGCTAATAAAAAGGAAAAAGGGTCTCTTAGATTAATTTATTCTGATCCTACCTAAAAGAATATCAAATGCCACGGCTATTGAGGATTCCCTCCTGTATTAATAATTGAAGTGAATATGTCATTCCTATAATGAGTGAAAGGTAATTTTTTCAAAAATATTTCTATTTGGAATATGCTAAAATACCTTTGTTTAGTTTCTCATAACCACTATTTAGTTTTTGAGTTTCCCAAAACTTTTTTTTTCTTTTACTGAATAGTCCCAGATGTTCCACATTTTATTTGGTCTCGACTTTTTGATGATGATTCTACCATTGTACTTAAAGTAACGTGGTTGCCTGCTCTCGAAGGTCATCCTGGTAGTTATTTTTATGTTCAATACAGATCAAAAGGTAGGTAAAGATGATGTATTGTCTTGTTTCTAATATCAGTTTGAAATTATAGATTCATGAGAATTATGATGGACTGCTTAAAAGATGCTTTTGGAGTTGTCTGCTCTGTTTATGTAAATATGCATTAAGTGAAAGATAACTATATAAGATATAAATGTTGAATAAGAATATATATATAATTATGCATTATTAGATTTGGCATTTTTAAAACACTAATAAATTTCAGTTTGGTATATTGAGCAGTTTAATTTAGGAGATTATTCAGTTTCTAAGTTTGTTCATAAATACATTTATGTATATAAATGAATTTTTTTACAGATCTCATTATAAACTTTTGTTACGTCTGTGTTCGTTTGTTAATTTTCCGTAGAAATTCTTTCCGAGAAACTTCTGCAATACAAGTCCTTTCTTAAATAAAACTAGTTTATTCTTTCTCAATTCAACTTTGCAATACACTTAATTTCCACAGTCACTTTAACTTAAACACATGCTATAATTCACAATGATTCACACACTTTACTTACAGTGTCTACCGCCCGTTTGACTTGATTATCCATGTCTATATCTTCAATCTCTCTATCTGCAACTATTCTTGCTGTCACTTTATTTGTTGGCTTATATATTTTAAAAGTGCACATCTAGATTGCACTCGCCTCTTCATGAATCTTCTAGATACTCATCACGTGTTACCAGAATCACGTGACTTCCGCTGTCTTAACATTTTTTATATAAGTAACTTCACATCTCACAAAATAGTTGTTCTTCACTTTTATAGTGAACTAGACCACCATGACTCGTTGGGTCAACCAATATTCAGAGGTTATGAAGAATTCAAGCTAATTTCAATATTGCACCAAGATGAAGGCTTATTTTGAGATAATTTAATTAAATATTTCAATCCATTCATGTTATTCATAATTCAAGAAAAGTTATTTGATTGTTGATTGGGAGTAGAAGGAAAGACCATTTCATATTTCAAAAAAGTGACGTAAGAAGTTTCGTAAAGAGCACAAATGGTAGTGTGAATGATTTTTTGACTG